GAGCTTTCACTATTTGTTCTGATTTAAAGGCCAAGGAAGTGAAAAGGCCTCTTCAGTAGAAAGACTACATCAGACCAGGAGCCTTGCCTTAGCTGCAGCAATCTCTAGGATTCAAAAGCGAGTGCACTAGGCTACTGCCAAAGAGAAATACACCTGACTTCAAGCTAACCCTTGCTTGCATCATTTCTGAATGGCACTCAAGCAACAAAAAGTTTCCTAGGCAACCCCAAAAGAAGTAATCCGTTTTACACAACCCTCAAGTGAACAGCTTCAGCATTTACCATCTGGTTCTGACTTGGCCGATTCCGACTGCGTAGTTCCTAAGTATCAAAAAAGCAAGCTGCAGCTGAGAAGCCAGGCACAATTCAATCTTTGATTAACAATTTTCTTTCACCACTTTCTTTCAATTCTTATTTTAAACAATCACACAACACATACTCTATTTCAAACAGTAAAGATGCATCACACCTGTGCAAACACTAAACACATCGTTATTCAGGCACAAAGAAGCCAGAAGGAATTCAAGTAAGAGTCAGAAAGTAATTTGGAAGATGCATGTCTTCTAAATCATAGAGGTCTTTTACGCTATATTAAAAATAAATCCATTTTTCCATCCACACAAATAAACAGCTGACTTGCCTATATATACACACATACCTAGTATTTAGATATTAGTTTAATTTTTGGGGGTAACTTTTCATAAAAGATGACAATTTTCTATAAAAACTAGTCCTTGAATTCTTGAAATCTATGTACCTACCAGATAAGTAACTATTATTTAAGAGAAATTCTTTTTTTTTTTAAAAATAAAAATATATAAGTTTCTCTATACTACCTCACGGCAGCTAAAATATAATAATTTTACAGTGAACTGGTCATACAAGGAAAAATATTTTGTTTCTCTATAGATAATTTCAGTTAAAAACAACAAACCCAAAATATTTTGTATTTTAAATGAACTGGTCAATAGGTTAAGAAAGAAAAATAGTGTTAGAACACTGCAGATGATCCTGCTGACACCACAATGAGTAATTACAACTTTTAGTCTTTGTTACAAATGCTGCAAAAATGTTTCTATGAAAAAAGCAATGTTCCCCTCCATCCCCAAGAAATTATAACAGTAAGCCATTAAAAAAAAAGAGAAAAAGAAAGCGTTTTAGGAGGCATTTCTCTTAGCTTGCATGATATAGCCTTTAGACTTGATAATTCCTCTGCTTTTAACAATGACTGAATACCGGAGAAGCCACAGAGGAATCCACTCGTGTGCTTTCGTGTTCTGGATGCTTTCCCGGAGAACTTCTTGGAAACTTGCTTCACAAAGTAGTTCTGAAGTTAAAAAGGGATATGCATGCTTTAAATAATGCCACAAACAGCTGCAAAAAGCAACACTGAGTAAGAGAAGCCTTTTCCTACAGTCAAAAGTCTTAAGCAGTGCCAGATAGTCCACAGATCCCCTCTTCTGGAGTGCTCATAGGGTAAAAGCAGCCGAATGTTACAGCAGCAGTCTTCAGGACATTTTTGCAACATTGAGTGTTTCCCACAAAACTAATTAACTGAGATTTCTACAATATCAAATGGTATTGATCTGCAGAGCTATTAGCAAGAAATTGAAATTAAATTTGAAGAGCTAGCCAGACAAACCAGAAAAGAGTGAAGCACAAGGCTGACAGTAGAGTACTGAGCATTCTCAGTTGTCTCTGCAGTCACTGGAAGATCCCTATTTGTGTCCCATAACTGGGCTCACACTAACCACAAGCCCAGGAAGCATTAACAACAATGGGTTTAAACGCCACAAAGCAGAAAAGGTAGGCAAGTACAAATCGTCCCAGCTTCCTCTGGAAAGTCAGTCAAGGGAACAATCTCTTTGATGGGGAGTGTTTCCAAAAGACAGTCTCAATACTCTTCATCTGACCATTACAGTTAAGCTTGGTAAGCAATGCAGAAGGGGATCACTCCTTGCTTTGTTTTCTATCCAAATCCTTCATTTCAAGACTCTCAGTACAGAGTATTTAATAAACCAGACTGCACTTTGGACTTCACAGGACACAGAAATGGTCAGACTGAACAGCGATTCATCTGGTGTGCTGCCAGAGCAGTGCTGATACATGCTCAAGCACTGATGAAATTAATTAGTCACAGTAGTGGTACTACAGAACAGGTATTTCATACTTATTTTCTCTGGGGGGAATGGGAAGAAAGGAGACGGAAGGAAAAATCTGATCATCCTGAATAGCTGGTGATTAGGAAGAGTGTAGGG